ACCCTTCAAGTCCTGAGCTGTAGGAATTGGCTGTCTGCTCCCTGCCATGCCCGTGTACAGATAAGGAAACTGAGGCCCAGAGAGAGGCCTCGGACCCAGGGCGTTCCCCCACCTGTTGTCCGCTTAGGATTGTCACCTCGGTGTCCAACTGAGCAGAGCCCCCTGGGCACAGGAAGGAGGTCTGAAAGGCCCGGTGAGGGCAGCAGGCTGTGGGAGTTGGGCAAAGGGCCTCTGGCCACTGTTGGTCCACTGACTCACTGTACCAAGTCACGAGTGAATCACCTCTCCCACCCCCTGCACTGGCTCCGGTTCCCCCTGACCCCACTCAGGGCTGCGAGGCATGGCTCCTCCCAGCACGGGCTCCTTGACATTCTGTGCTGGGTGTTCAATCAGTCCAGGAGGTCTTCCTGGAGGAGGGGGCACATCCTGGGCCCTGATGTCAGGGTCGGACCTGGCGAGGCAGGGGGAAGGGCATCCTGGAGGCGGGTACAGCAGGCAGAGGGGTGGCGGGAGGGTGGTGCCTCTGGAGGGCATGCTGCTCTCGGCTGTCTGGAGTTGACTGTGGACTGACGTCAGGCTGGGTACGCGCGTCTGCTGGCCGAGCCTGGGCCGGGCTGGCGCCTGCGGCGGGCGTCGCTGCCCTGGGCGTGCATGTATCTGCGGAGCGAGGCGGAGACGCTCCAGCTGGACGGGCTGGGTGTCGGAGCCGTGGGCAGCTGCTGACAGCGCCGGGCGCCTGGCTGAGCCTGCACCTCCCCACCAGGCCGCCAGCCTGCCGGCGCGGGAGACCCCCCTCCCCAGAGCCGGGCAGGGGCCTCCGCCCCAGACACTGCCAGTGCCCGCAGGGAGCTGACACGGGGTATAACTGTAGGGGGGACCAACCCCCGGGGTGCACCCTCCCGTCTGTGGGGCTCAGGGCATCACACACACCTCGACCTGACTCGGGCGGGAGAGCAGGCAGCAGCATGACCGCCCAGGCACCGCCCAGGGGGGACACAGATGTTAACAGCGGCGATGAGCACAGCGTCCGCCGTCTGGCGGGATCCTGGACCCTGTCCCCGTGTCCCTGACGAGGCGGGAACTGAGGCGCAGAGACACCCTGCTCCACAGCAGAGCCGGGCTGGTTCTGGGGGTCCCGCCGGGGCGTCGGGGGAGGCGCTGCACCCCGGCACAGCCTCTGATCCCTGTGTGGCCCTGGTTTCTGTCAAGCTCAGCGAGTCCTTTTGTCGGTGAAGTGGGGCCGTGATGATCTTTTGGGGGCTAAATAGCAGAAGCGCCTCGAGGTGACAGTCACAGGGGCGCTCTGCAGACTCGGGGAGGGAAGCAGAATCCCAGGAGTCAGGAGCACAGGCAGCCTGGCTTTCTCAGGGCCCCTGTGTCCCTCCTCCCCCGTCCTGGCCCAGCACCTCTGGCCTCCGCATGTGGCTGCGGCCGGAGCCCATGTCTGTACTTGCGTCAGGTGGCCAGCAGGGACTCACGTCCAGGCTGCAATGTCACCTCCGAGCCTGGGGTGCACGTCCGCCCTGACCTCGGGGAGCCGTGGCTAGATGGGCAGCAACCAGGTGCGTGGCTCAGGGACAGGACACAGAGGGGTGCTGGGCTGGCACCCCAAACCCATTGGCTGCACCCCTACAAAGAGGGCGTGGGCTGCGAGTGTGACCTGCAGCAGAGGCGTGGGCCCAGCAGGGGGAGCACGTCCTGCCCCCAGGCGTGATGGTGACCGCAGATCCGGCCTTGACCCCGACCCGGCAGCTACCTGGGCCCCACACCCCGGGGGTTGGTGTGAAGCCTCAGAGAGGGGGACCTGCCTGACAGGGAGGGTGCCCTCTGGGCCCGGCGGCCCTGGGCTTCCGTGGCAGGCAGTGGCACGCGTGGCTCTCGGCTGGGATGGGACCGTTGGCGGGAGTGAGGCGTGGGGCCAGCCCGCCCTGACGGGGCTGGGGTGTGGCTGGTCCCTGGGAGCGGCTCTGCCCTTCTCTGAGCCTCCAGCTCCTCCCGTGCAAAGTCGGGGCCCTAGTGCCTGTCCTGCCCCCCACAGCTGCCCGAGGACCAGGGAGGGGTGCCTGCGGGGTCATGCTGCTGCCTGCTCTCCCGCCCGAGTCAGGTCGAGGTGTGTGTGATGCCCTGAGCCCCACAGACGGGAGGGCGCACACCGGGCCCAGTGCTCCTCCCCGGCGCCTGCTCTGCTCTGCTTCCCCCTCGGTGAAGAGCAGAGACCTGCCCCCCCGCCCCCTCCCCGCCCCCCAGCGTCCCCCGCCGGCCGCCTCATCCCACACCCACTCCCTGGACCAGCTGCGTCAGGCTGCACCCTCGGCAGGGCCGGCAGGCCAGCTGGCCTCAGCCGCCCCAGGGGCCGAGGCAGGTCTGCCCGGCAGGGCGCCCAGGAATGCGGGGGTCCCGGCTCCCACTGTCCATCTGTGTGGGCTCGCTGTGGGTCAGGCTGTCTGGTCGGCCCGCCTGTCTGCATGTGGAGCTGTCTGTGGGTCTGGCCGCCTTGTCTAATCACTCTGCGTCTGTCTAGGTCTGCCTGCCTGCCTGCCTGCCTGTCTGTCTGTCTGTCAGAGGTCTGGTTCCTGACCCAGCTTTGCCTCTGATCCACAGCGTTGCCTGGCAACACCTTTCACCTCAGTTCACATCTGTGTCCCCCTCCACCTGCACCCAGGGGCCCGGGCGTCCTGCCTGGTCGAGCTCCCTCCCAGGCCACCTGACCCTGGCAGATGGGTCTGCAGGAACCACTACTCCCCACACACCTTCCCTGCACCCCGCCCACTCGGCTCAGCACCGCCCCCCCCCCCCCCCCCCCCAAGACAGGACTCTCTGAGCAAACCCGTCTGTCAGTGATCCGCACACATTCCGGGGGAGGGGCACTCGGCCGGGTTCCAGCGAGTCCCTGGCAGGGTTCGTCCAGACCTTGCACACGTGCAGCCTTGGAGCCCTTCATTGCACATTCCTGCCATCACCCGCAGTGGGAAGTCGCGGGGATGCCCGCCGTGGGGCCTGGCCGGGGCTGGGCTCCCCCACGCGCGGCCGCTGTGGGAAGCAGCAGGCGGGGACCTGCAGGGACCCCGGGGAGACCCGAGTATCAGGGAAGACGTGGTCGCCCCAGGACAGACCACCAGGTGAGGGAGGGGCCGTGCGGAGAGTTTATGTGGAATGCTGCCTTTGCTTAAAAGGGGGGAAGGAAATAGGTATTTTCCTATATTTTCCAAGTACATTTTTATTGATTTCAGAGAAAGAGAGAGATAGAAACTTTAATGATGAGCGGGAATCATCACTCGGCTGCCTCCTGCACGGCCCCCACTGGGCATGGAGCCTGCAACCGGGCCTGTGCCCTGACTGGGAATTGAACCGTGACCTCCTGGTTCATAGGTCGACGCTCAACCACTGAGCCATGCCGGCCGGGCAATTTCCCTATATTTTTAGAAAGAAGCAATGGAAGGACCAACCCAGAATCCAGTAAAATCACCCTCTGGGCCAAGCTGAGGCCGGTGGAGGGGAGGGGGGGTGGGAGGGCGGAGGGGGGCAGGTTTGGGAGCAAGACCTGCCTGAACGCACCTGGCTGTGCCCCTGACTCTGGAATCAGATGTTTTCAAGACTGAAAATCAAAACGAAACTGACGTTTGAAAAGGGAGGGGGCACCAAGTTGGTGGGAACACACTGGTGAGAACTATTTCAAGTGACTTTGGGATAAACTTTTACTCTCCATCCCTAAGGGGGCGAGAACAGCAGCCTCCAAAAAGCAAATAAATATCAGACTCCACTCAGCGGACTTGTTAGCAAACATGCTGGCCTGGCCACGTGGATTTTTATTATTCTGTGCCCTCTTGCAGTCTGGGAGCCCTTGCCTCAGCGTCAGTCGGACATCCTTAGCGCTGCTGCGGAGGCGGGAGAGGCTCCTGCCACCGCCACTGAGCTCGCCAGCCATGAGCCTGGCTTCTGGCTGAGCGGCGCTCCCCCTGTGGGAGTGCACTGACCACCAGAGGGCAGGTCCTGCCTTTGAGCGTCTGCCCCCTGGTGGTCAGTGTGCATCATAGCAACCGGTTGTTCAGCCATTCAGTCAATTTGCATATTAGCCTTTTATTATATAGGATGTAACAGGAAAATGCAAATAAATAGTGAAGTGTGTGCCCTCATGAAAGAGGATTGATTGTTACTGCAAGTCACAGAGAATCCAACTTGAACAAGTGAAAGCCCTGCACACTCCCATTTTAAGTGGAAACACCAGTGTGACTCATGTCTTATTTTTCTCTTCCTACGAAATAATTTTTAAAAATATTCCCGTGCTGGCCGGTGTGGCTCCGTGGCTAGAGCGTCGGCCTGCACACTGAAGGGCCTCGGGTTCGATTCCCGGTCAAGAGCAGGTACCTGGGTTGTAGGTTCAATCCCCAGTAACCGGGTTCCCTTCAGGAGGCAACCAATTAGCTACCAAAAAAATGCTTTTTAAAACATGGGCTTAAAATAGTTTTTGAGTGTAAACCTAACGGTCAAAAAGGAATAGGTTTGGTTTTAAGGGAGAAGGTTCTGGAAATGGGCTGCACCAACAGCACTGAGCTCACAGCTGGCGAAGGTGGCACGTTTTGTGTGACGTGTCCTTTGTCACAGTGAAGAGCCGGAAAGAAAAGGGGTCAGTTATGTGACCCCGTGGGGTAGGGATATCGCAGAACAGGCAACGCTACGAAACAGACAAGGGGGCCCTCGTTGGTGAAAGAGCGGCCTTTAAAGCACGCGTTCAGCTGGGCTGCGGGCGGGTCCGGGTGCAAACGCACACGCCGCGCAGCCGGCTGGAAGGGCGCCATCCATGTGAGCGAGAGCGCGAGGCCGAGCGCTGCAATGCCCGGGACCATGGCGGCCCCCGCCCCAGGAGCCTGGCGGGCCGGCATCCCCTCCCGCAGGGGTGGGGGCCGGGGCTGGAGCGGGAGGCCGGCAGCCTGGCGTGCGCGCCCTGGTGTACCTGATCCCCCCCTTTCTGCCCTGTGTGAGCCTGGCTGTGTGTGCTGCAGGCTGTTGATGGAGAAGGGGGCGGATGACAGCCGGGACCGTGGTCATCACCGGGGGCATTTTGGCGACTGTGATTCTGCTGTGCATCATCGCCGTTCTGTGCTACTGCCGGCTGCAGGTACTGGGGGCTGGGGGAGGGGCGCAGGGGGGAGCCCCCACACATGCCGGGGCCCAGGAGGGGGGAAGAGTCAGGTCTGGAACAAAGTGCAAAGCAGACAGCCCTGCCCTGACTCTGCCTCGCACACAGAGCTCAGAGAGGGTGAAGGACTTAGCCCGCGGCACACAGCCAGCCCGGGGAGGGCAGAGGTGAGCGCTGGGCCCTGCTCTCCCTTCCCCACCCACACTCGGGCAGCCTGGGGGTGCAGGGGTGGAGTGCATCTTTCTCAGGAAGGAGGGGAAGCCACGTGCAGGCCAGGGCAGCACACCCCGGTGCTCATGAACTAGGCTGAGGCCAGAGCCCTGGTGCCTCGGTTTCCCCACCTGCACCACAGAGGTGCTAGCTGCCTCTGCCTCCGGATGCTGTGCCGATGAACTGAGCGAACCCCTCCGTGCAGAGCTCAGAGTGCCCGCCCTGAGTGTGCTCCCATGAGGGGTGGCGTGGGGACGGGGTCCGGGCCCTCCCGCCTGGCCCCCTTCCGGCGCTGGGAGAGGTGGGAGGCGGTGGGGGGGGGGGGGTGAGCCCTGTGCTCAGCAGCTCTCTGCCCGCAGTACTACTGCTGCAGGAAGGAGGGGTCTGAGGAGGACGAGGAGGAGCCGGACTTCGACCCGCACCCGGGCCTGCCGCCGCTGCACTCCAACCGCAACCTGGTGCTGACCAACGGGCCCGCGCTCTACCCCGCCGCCGCCTTCGGCCAGAAGTCCCCGCAGGCCCGTGCCCTCTGCCGCAGCTGCTCCCACTTCGAGCCGCCCACCTTCTTCCTGCAGGAGCCCGAGGACGAGGGCGTGCGCAACGGCGGCGAGCGCGTGGCCTACAGGGCCATCAGCCAGGAGGACATGGAGCTGCCGCCCGCCGCCTTCGGGGGCCTGCAGCCGCTCAACCCCAACCGCCTCTCGGCCATGCGGGAGGCCTTCGCGCGGAGCCGCAGCATCAGCACCGACGTCTGAGCCGCCCCTCTCCCCGCCCCTCCACCCCCACCCCTCCCCGCCCCTCCTGCCCACCCCGCAGGCCCCCGAGACCATGGAGGGGTCCCCGCGGCCCGCCCGCCTGGCCCCGGGCCCGGCCCCGTCTCCCTCGCGTCCCTGTCATCGCGTGGCCCCACCCAGAGGGGGGTCAGGGGCTCAGTGCAGGGACAAGGCTGGTGACCGCTGGCAGGGAGGCGGGCGTGACGTTGTGCAGGTGAGCCACAGCCTCCAGGTGTCATGAGAGTGGCCTCCGTCTCAGCCCAGGCTCCTGGCCGGCCCTGCCGCTCCCCCCTCCGCCTCAGTCTACCCGCCTAGTCCGATGGGGCGGCCGCGGCGACTCGGGCCTGCCGCCAGCCTTCCCTGGCAGTTCTGGACCAACTCTTCTCGCCCTCCAACCAGAAGCGGGGGGGCTCTCTCCTCCCCCCACACCCCTGGCTTCAAGTGCCAGGCGGCCGACACCAGCTCAGCGGCTCTTTCTGCAGACCCCCTAGAAGGGCAGTCTCAGGGGCGGCCGGCCTCAGGGATGCAGTCCCAACTGGCTTTTTAAAAAAATAATATATTTTTATTGATTTCAGAGAGGTAGGGAGAGGGAGAGAGAGAAACAGCAATGATGAGAGGGAATCATGGATCGGCTGCCTCCTGCACGCCCCACACTGGAGATCGAGCCCGCACCCCGGGCCTGTGCCCCGACCGGGAATCGAACCCTGACCTCCTGGGTCATAGGCCGACGCTCAACCACTGAGCCACGCGTCCTGGCACCAACGGGCTTTTTGATGAAAGTGAGAGAGAGGCTTTGTCCCACCCGCTGCTTCGGGAGGGTCCTCCCTAAAACACGGCCCACTCCTCAGACCCCACGCGGTGGGTGGGCAGAGCCCGGAGGCCCGCTGACTCCGCAGGAGACCTGAGACCGGCCCTCCCGTCCTGGGCCTCGGCCTCCAGGAGCCCTTCCGGCCGCAGTCCCGGGAGACAGACCGCCTCTCCCAGCCCCGTTTCTCCCGAGGCTCTGGGAGCGAGGCAGGCCCTGTGTGACGTCAGCTGAGCCCACTCCCCACCTCGCTCCTGGCCGGCCTGGGGGTCTCCCCGGGAGCCCCCTCTCAGCTCCCTCTCCCCGGCTGGGAAGCGATGCCCGAGGCCACCTGGGGAAACGCCCCAATCCCCGGGCACCCGCCGGGGTCGCAGCTCCTCACCCGGCACAGGCAGCGTCTCCTCTCCCACCTGCCGCCCTGCCCCCAGGGCTCTCTCTGCTCCTGGAACCCCAGGGTGGGGTGGCCCCCGTCTACCCAGGAGGATAGACCGAGACCCCCCTCTGGCCTTCCTACAAGGCCAGCCTGTGCGGGCAGTGGCCATCCCCGAGCCACGCAGTCCGAGCGGCTTGTACTCGGGAGTGCGGCGTTGAGACAGCCGGAAGGGGCAGGTGCGGAGTTAGCGAAGACTGACTTGTTTTCTTCATATATTTTTATTGATTTCAGAGAGGGAGGGAGAGGGGGAGAGAGAGAAACATCCATGATGAGAGAGAATCATTGATCGGCTGCCTCCTGCACGCCCCCCACTGGGGATTAAGCCTACAACCTGGGCATGTGCCCTGACCGGGAATCGAAACGTGACCTCCTGGTTCATAGGTCGATGCTCAACCACTGAGCCACACCAGCCGGGCAAGACTATTTTTAGCATTCTCGATTTCCCCCCTTCTTCCTTTCTCCTCCTGCCTCAGTTCAGACACTCCAGACTTCCCAGAGCCCCCCGACATCCCCTCCCTTTGTGGAGCCCCACACCCTTGTTTCCGATGCATTAGCTTGGGGGGGCGGGGGGGAGGGGGCGAGGGCCAGCAGGGGCGCTTCCTGTGCTGTCCTGTCCCGTTTCCTCTGTCCTGCGCGGGCTGCCCTCTGCGTGGATTCAGAGGCCAGTGTGGAATGAGAAGCACCACCCACGTGTGTCCCCTCGGCTCCGCTGTGGGGCCCTGGGCGGAGCGGAAACCCAATAAACCCGACTTCAGCACAGCTCGCCGCCGCCCGCGTGCGCCGGGGACAGGCCAGTCCGCCCTCTCCGCCCTCGCGGGAACTCTGGGGGGGGTCAGGGCTCCACCCAGAGGGGCGGCTGCAGCAAGCCACGTTCGTTTTGGGGTTTCCCCGGGTGGCTGTGTCCATCTTGAAAGATTGGGACCATTGACCTAGACTCTGAGCTCCTGGAGCGTGGTGGTGGGTGACAGCGGGGTCACCTGGGCCTTAGTCTGAGCTGTAGCACGGAAGGGTGACGGCTGCACAGACTGCGGTCGCCTTTAGGACGAGTGAAGGGTGGCGCCGGTGAAGCCCTGGGCACACAGCCTGGCATACAGCAGGCGCACAATAAATGCTGGCCAGAAGGAGGACACAGGAGAGAGGAGATGGGGCGGGAAGGAGGGGGAAGGGCAGGGGTCAGTGGCAGGACACTGGGTCACGGTGACTCACCTCCACGGGAAACAAGCCAGTGACCCTGAACAGGCCCAGCCCCTGGGCCTTCAGTGCCACTCCATCTTGCCGCTCTCAGCACTGGGTGTGGCCCCTGCGCTGGCCCCAGTTTGGGGACAGGCCAGCCCCACATCCCGGGAGGCAGCCACTTGCTATCCTGCCACCTGGGCCTGCGCAGTCTTGCTGTCCTGCGGCGGGTGGGCACCTGTGCCAGCCCCTGGCTGCAGTACCCACATGACTTTCGGTATCCCGGACACCCCCGTCTCTCCCTCGAGGCCTTTGCCAGCTGCTTCCTCCTCCACACTCCCCACCCTTTCCGCTGGGAGAGCCACTCCTGCTGTTGGACCCGCCTAAACGTCACCTCCTCCAGGGAGCCCTCCAGGGTCCCTTCACCCCAAGTCCAGATTAAGTAACTGTTCTAGGAGGTCACAGTCCTGATGGGCATCTCCCAAGGGCTCAGTGTGGCCCACCGCCTGCCTCAGCCCTCTGCTCCGCCCAGCACATCCCAAGCCGGACACTTCTCTCTGAGGCTCAGATCATGGGGTTCTCACCAGCACCAGCACCGCCACGTCCTGCAAGGACCCTCCCAGCTCCCCTGGTCCTCCAGGCCCTCATGTTTTACTCGGCGCCTCCGGGCACCCCAGATCTCCCACCCCCTGGTCCCCACCATCAACAGCCTCAAGAATTGGACTCAATTCTGACTCCAGCATCAAGTCCTGGTGCCCCTGACTCTCCTGCCTGCGGGCTCCCCACCCTGTCACCTTCTGTCACCCCCGGGAGCCACTGCACCCAGCCCTGTCCCCTGTCCCAAGGCCTCAGCAAACCCTCCTGGGTGCGCTGGGCAGCCCGGCCGGACTCAGAGCCACTGCGAAGCCCGGTGCCACCATAAATAGACACTTTATTAACGTGCAGGTGCTGGTGGAGGGCGGACAGGTGTGCTGTGAGGTGCCTCTTCCCGGGCGTAAAGTGCGGTGGCCCCCCGAGCGCGGGCTGGGCTGGGGGGCAGCGGGTGCTGGGATGGGAGGGGAAGTGCCTCCGGAAGGAGTCATCTACGTAGGAGCGGATTCCAGGCGGCCCTCATCCTCCTGCCTGCCCTGCCCTCTCCTCCGCCCGCCCTGAGGCAGGCAGGGCCCTCCCAGGGCTGAGCAGGCTCAGGGGGGGGTGGGGGGGGGCAGGAGGGCCGGTCCCCTCCACCTCTGGGCTCTGGGCCCCAGGCGCTGGGCAGCCGGGTGCTGGGCTGGGTGCTCAGGCCCTAGGAACAACGGCCCACGCGGGGCGCTGTCGGAGAGGCCCACGGCGCCGGCTCTCCTTCCCGGGGAGAGCGGAGGCTCAGTTTCACATCTTCACGGCCCGGGTGCCCGGCAGGGAGTGTCCGTGGGGCCCCAGGTGGGGCGCGGGGTCTCAGGCAGCCGCCTAGGAGTGGGGGGGCCGGCAGGAGCGGCAGCACGCCTTGCTGTAGTACCAGTGTCCGCACAGGTTCACCTTGATGGCCAGGGCACAGTTGGTGCCTGGCTGGTCCTGGCAGCTGTCATCTGGGGAAGGGACGTGTGGGGGGCATGGGCATCAGGATAGGACCGCCACTCCGCCCGCCCACCCGCCCACGCCGTCCCCAGCTGAGGGGATGAGGTGTGCACAGGGTGGCCCTGGTGACGGAGCACCTGTGGGCAGGTGGCCCATCTGTGCCCATTCCAGGTTCAGGGGCATCGGGCCTCCCAGCCCACGGCGGGCACCCGGGCTCTATTTCTCTGCCACCCAATCCTGCCCCCGTCCCAGGACCGACACGGGTCCACACAAGTGGTTTGACCTGCGCAGGGGGAAGGGAGATGTCCAGGGGCCAGGACTTGGAGGAGTCACTGACCTCACCCCCAAAGTACCCCTGGGAGGCCCACCGCGCCCCCTCGAAGCCCAGCTCGTCCACCTTCCCAGTGCCCAAGCCAGAGACACGTTCAGCCCCTCGCCCTCCCCTCGCCGTGCCCAGCCCTGCCCACAGCTGCCCCCACCTACCGAGCCCACGCTGTGCGCAGGTGCAGGTCGCTCGTGGCTCCTGGGGACCCTGAACACCACTCAGGCCTCACCTGCCGCCCCTCCTGCCCTCCCCTCCCGCCAGGCTCAGCCATCCCCGGGGGCCTCCCTCCCTGCCTGGTCCCCCGGCCGACATCCCCGGCCCTGGCTCTGCCCACCCTCCTCGGGAGCCCACGGCCCTCACCTGGGGGCTCCGTGGGGCAGGGCTGCAGGTCACAGGCCAGTCTGCCCACGGGTTTCACCAGCGGGTCGCAGCCTCGGACGATGTCGGTGCCCTGGTAGCACTTCACGTCGCGCATCCGCACGCCCATCCCGCAGGTCTTGGTGCACTGACGGGGGAGAGAGGGCGTGGGACCCACCACCGCCACCGGCTGCTGAGCCCCAGCTCACGCGGGGCACACAGAGCTCGGGTGACGAGGGCAGGGAAGGGCATGGCTGGCAGTCAGGAGACCGGTACTCAGCCCCACCCAGTGCTGCCTCAGTTTCCCGGTGTGCACAGGAGGGGGTGAGCCTCCTCTCTCAACTATCCCCCCCCGCCCC